TTTAATTAAATATTGCGGTCTCAGTTTAATTTATGGCAACACTTTTAAATCAGTGGTTCTGATGCACATTTTTTTTGTTTTTTTTTTTTAATCTGGCCGCGTGGCACAAACATAGAACCTTTTGGGATGGGGAATATTGGCACAAGAAACGTACTGTGGGAAGATTTTATAATGTGGCACAACATCCTTTGTGACGTAACACGCAAAACGGACGAAGGCGATCTCTAAAAAGAGACTGGTAGCGCTATAAACGCCGTTCAGCAAATACATACAGTATGGAGCAGTGGTCGGCAACCTTTTTAAAGTGACGGACCGGTAAAGCTTGACCAAACTTTTGGCGGACCACCTTTATACAAACAAACTAAGCCTATGCAATAACTTATATGCTTCTTACTTCCAGCCTATTTCGATATTTCGCTTTTGTAGTTACCAATATTGAAAACCAGGCCTCACATTAAGATTTCGGGAAAGTTAACAATGCCTGAATTGTTTTGTTGGGGAGATCTTAGTCGGACTGATGAGAGACATTCTTATACGGCCGTAGAGAAAACAATTGACCCAGCATTATTGCGACATACTGACATGGCAGTTGTTTATGAAATCAGACATGTTGCTCAATAGTGTAATGCAGTGGTCGACAAACTTCATGTACTTGCGGGCCAAATATAAAAATTTCCGCCAGCGCGCGGGCCGCAATATTTCCGCCTTCGAACAATCGCTACCATAATTAAACTTCAAATTATGGCGCATTCGCATTGCTACCCTTTTATTGCTGTATTAAAAGCTTGTCCCAATGAGATGTATATGTGGCATTTTTTTTATTATGCAACAATACATTGTTTTTATGTACTTATTATCAATGTGAAAGATGATGTTTTTATGGCGTCGTCCAAATGGTGATCTGACAAGCGAGTACGAAATTTAATCTGAGTGTAATGCATTTTAGATAAAGCTGCTCAGGGCCATATGTTCTTCCGAACGTGCACATTACACGTTTTGCACTGTCGCACAGATGAGCTGTGGCGCAATCCCGGGTCTCGGGGTCGAATTTTCGACGACTCGTTGCGTAACGAGTTTAACATTGAAACCCTTAACAACTGCGATGCTGACTGGGCATATCGAGCAAACCGGTTTTGGGATGCGCAAGAAAGAAAAATATTTTTCCGTTCAAGCACTTTGAAATGCTCGACCCGCGTCGCTCCGTTTTCCAGTCATTTTCAAATTTTAAAAATCAAAATTAACTCGAACGACATACAACTGACGCTACTTGTTACATAAGAAGCTCCGTACAGCAGCACTTGTCACCACATAAATTTGGAATTAATTTTTGTTTTTTTTATTGAATGTCGGGTCGTTCAAGGGCCGCAACAAATTAGCTCGCGGGCCGCATTTTTTCCGACCCCTGGTGTTGTGTTTGTCTGGTTTACTGTTGGGTGCTGTTTTTAGTCGTAGTGTTTGTGGTTAGATTGTAGAGATTTTATTACGGCATTGTCCGTTTTTGTGTCACCTCTCTGCGGACCGGCAGTAACCTTTCCGCGGACTGGCGGTGGGCCGCGGCCCGGTGGTTGCCGACCGCTGGTATAGAGCACGAAATCCAAGCTTGGGGTCGCGACCCATACTTCAAGAACTACTGTTTTGTAAACATTGCCTCGTTTTCGCAGTTTTGCGTGTCATTTGTCAATTTTTAGTTTTATTTCCAAGAATTAGTAAAGTATATGTTTCAATTGTTATTTTGTCTTCCGATAAGCTGTAGTTTTATTGTGGGGATCAGAAATAAGTTCCGGAAAAGCTGCGATAGACTAGGCTAAAATCAGCTAGTACGTGTAAGAGGGACGTGGTTGTACATTTTGATAAAAAATAATGGTTTTGAGCGTGTAAATTAGTTTGTCAACGCTCCAAAACACTAGCGAAATGAGCATCCAAAATTTTGCAATAGTAAATTATAAGGAGAATATTTCTGCGGTCAATGGTCGGGGAAACATCCATAGGCATCGAAGCATCTACAACTCAAATCTTTGTAGTTTAAATTTATTCAAAGATCTATGAATCGTTGTAATGGCCTCGGACAACCCAATTTAGTGCATTTTAAGTTTGTTAGTTACTTCTTTTTATTTAGTTTTATATTTCTAACTCGATTTTACTTTTAGGTTTCTAGACTGGAAGACCAAGTCAACGATTTGATCAGCAGGAATTCTTAATATTCGAAGCATACGAACGAGATAGCGGGAGGATAAATTTAACGCTGAAATTTTTGTTCACTTGAATCGTTCCCACGTTTTACTTAATGGACCATATTTGAATAATTAATTCTCCTATTATGAACATTTGCTCATTGTAAAAATGTCGCGTAATGCACCACCATAATTCTGTATTGTTTCAGTAGTTTTGGTATGTCAGTGGTCGCCCGTAGCGTTTGCTGCAGATGAGTTTTCTTTACTTCTGAGTGAGTACCCGTAACTTTGCTCAGCGGTGAGTCTCCTTTACTTCTGATAACTTTGCTCAGAGATGAGTATCATTCAATTGTGAGTGAGTGCGTGTATAATGCACAAGTAGCTCGTGGTGTTCCAATGTCCATCCTCAATTTTGATCAGAGATTAGTCTTCTTCACTTCTGAGTGAGTGTGTGCGTACAGCACTAACTTGAATCTATATTGTATCAGAAGCCCTTGGCATGGACCTTTCCTCGAGCATCGATTTCCTTGTTTACTTCGTGACCTTGGCCAATAAGCAAGATGCAAAAAGTGACGTAACAATGCTCACTTTTGGCATCGGCTTAGACACTTTTCTCACTCAGACAGATATTCAAGCGTGGACGTAAACATTACCCCGTTTTCGCATTTTTGAACTATTTTCGTTAGTTTTCAGTTGTGTTTCGGAAATTTAAATCAGATAATTCAATGGTCACCCTGTCTTCCTAGGAGTTTTAATTTAATTGTAGTCATATAAATTAGTGTAGAAATAGCTGTGATAGATTAGGCTAAAATTCTTTACCAGTACATTTAAAAAACAGATTGTTGTATGTGATGAATCATGATGATGATTTGAAACACATACCCCATTTCACAGGCGCCAACTCGCAAAAGCACTCTTAAAATAGCCCCGAAAATTTTGCAATGGTAAAGTATAGGAAGAACTTTCCGGGGGTCAAAGGTCGGGGAAAGGTCCATTCCAGTGCTACACCTAACTTTGTATAATATGCGCTCGGTTAATAGGTATTGCTTTAAAGATATCAAGGACGTTTAATCGGTCACCCATTCCCACGATTGAGTTTACTATAAATGCTGAAAAGACGTTACACGTTTTTTATTTATTTGAATATTACTAGTATTCATATGAGCCTAGTATTAATTACTAAGCCTCGTAATCATACCAAGGGTTATCACGTGATATTCTGATTTCCAAAAGCTGCTTCATTTTGTCTCAAATTTGAATATATTATACAAGCATTAAATACAACATTACCTTGAAATAAGTTTCCCAGGCCGGGAATGAATTATACTGTTTATTTATTTATGTGGGGAAGAGGGGAGGGTTGGGTATTTAGTGTTACTTATATTGGCTCATTTATCAGTATCACAATTCATATTTATGCTCGTATTACGAACTAATATAAGTCAGTACAAGTTGTGCCCATCGCTAGATAATGATTGAACATCATTAGTGATTTCCCCCAAAAAATATGTTAAAGTGAGAAAACTGCTCGTTTTTGCCATCAGCAGTTCTGGAAATCTACGCAGTGCACCCCCAAAACATGCAATTATTATTGGACAACACCTCCTATCCCCAAAAAAGGCGCATTCTATTCTTATATTTTTTTTAAATTGCCAATTTGATCTCAAATGCTGGGCTAAACATCAGAGCTAGTGTCCAGTTCAAGTTTCTAAATTGAGCCTAACAGGAATATATATATGTATACACATTAACATAGTCTCACGAAAATGAATGGAAACTCTTGGAACCACAGAGTTAACCTAATCTAGTACGTTTTAGAAAACATTGTATTAAAGGGGCCCGGTGACGTTTCAAATTTGTGTGTGTATCAGAGCTATGGGATTTGAGTCAAACTGTCTGGAGGCAGTCTAATTTTGAATTCCTGAAATAATTTTAAACTTTTTAAAATGACAAGAGAACGCAGAAAACTCAAAACAAGTCAACATAACTCAAGCGCCCTTAAGAGGCTATTCATAGAGGCTTGCATAGCATGTTTACGGTAGCAAAATTTGATTATTTAGAGTGCTGAGCTGGAGTCGAATTTTTGCGATCCAACAATTACCGATCACGTTTAAAGTCGGCATTGTCATGCAAAAGCGCCGCTTCTTTGAGTTTTTGCACCAGTTTGAAAAATATGTTTCGAATCAAAAGTGTGAATTTGGTGCACTCTCGGAGACCCCTAAAATTCAATGCGTGCCCCCCCCCCCCCTTCGGGTTCGCAACCGCCAGTTCACGAAACACTGTTATAGAGCACATTGGTTGTAAACCTCCAAGAGCCACTTGGGAGTGGGAAACCTTTTTAACAGTTAATTTTATTTCAAGCGAATGAGCTACCCGAAATGCCTGTTGCAGATGCCCCGAAATTTGGTACCTATGTAGTATGCGAACCAAGATGGCGGACACCGCAACGAAGTATGTGTACCAGGTTAAGGTTAGGCCATAATTTCAGGCACAAATACTACGAGATCACTTGGCTAGTCCATAAAACTAAAAGAAAAATTTGAATAAAATTATGGCCTAACCTTAACCTGGTACACATAATACGGTCCGCTTCCACCATCCTGGTTCGCATACTACAGGAGTACCCGCAATATTTTCATTTAACGAGAACCCACAACCCAATAAAAATGAAAACCACTTGTAAATATATTGGAATGTGTTACCTCGGATGCCTGCTGGGGGCCAACCAGCCAAGGTTTTTTTCGAATCTCTAAATGGCCCTACTTAACCATCTCTACGATTAACTCCAATCTCTGTAAGAGCGGCAAACTGCACTAAAAAACCGACATATTCCATTGTAAGTGAATTTTATTATTACCACATAATCGATATTGTGATGTAATAGAATACATCCACATTATTTCTTGTATCCACGACTCTTTCTGCGTCCTCTGGCGCGTTCGAACTTACGTCCACTAGAGCGAACGTATGGCTTGGTTCGGCTGTGGGGAACACCTGGTGCCAATCCGAAATGCTTGTACACCTTGCGGCCCTTTCTTGGTCCTGAGAATATAGAAAAGTAGGGTTAAAGCAGGAGTGGGCACGGCTTTTGGACAAGGGACCAATTGTGCCAACCTAGACTGGCGACCCATGTAAGCGTGACGTAAAAATACATTTTATGATTAATATTTAAAGTGTTACAAAAACATCAAAATTTAGTTTTAGTTCGGTTGTGTCAGCATCAGGCGGGCCAGATTGAATTAACAATTTGGCCCGCGAGCATAGTTTGCCCGTGCCATGCTTAGAGTGAGTTAGGCCTCCAGGGTTCGCATTCCAGGGTGAGAGGAACCATAGAAAACCAAATTTGGATCCAGCAACAAGTTGAAACAACATTTTAAGAAAAAATTGAAATTGCCCTGAACCCCTAGTTTGTCATATTTTTAGACCAAACTCAAACTGTGGGGCAACCCACAAGAGGAGCCGTAGACAATTTTTTTGGGGCACATAACGCTACCCCCCCTTATATTTGACATTTACATTTCTTTATTATATCCCATCCACATATGTGTTTTTTGAATAAAACATATTTTCGCCTTATTATCTGTTATTTGTAGCTGTATTTGTTCTGACTGGTATGTAGTGCTTTTAGATCGCAAAATTAAAAGGCCACTACAAAACAGTCATTTTTACATAATATTTTTGTAATAATGATATAGTTTTCATGCTGTGATATTTCCCATCAATGCAAAACCACAATCCACAATACCAAATATAACAAACAGAAGTATCCCGTCCCAAACTATACAGGGTGTCAATAAAGTTCTTTTTCAATTTTAATTTTGTTCTGAAGTCATTTCTCAATATATCTTGATAACCAGGTTTGTTGTTTTTTAATCAGAAATTATTTAAGTATTCTCTACTTCATTTAATAAATCTGTGAGGGCCAAAACTACATACGATAAATACCGTTTGAAATTTTGAAAAATCTCAAGACTTGATGGACACCCTATATTATACGCATCCTTAACACACATACCTTGCATTAGGACAGTGTTCTGTCCCTTCGGTGCCTGCATTGCTAGTTGGTCCAACGTCATTATTTCTCCCCCAGCTTTCAAGATACGAGCTCGAGCACCGGTAGTGATTCGAAGAGCACAGACCTGAGAAATGACAAGCTTTTAAATTTCTACACAACACTGATGCAAAAGGCCACACCCAATAACCCAGAAGGCAAAGTTTTTTGCTATGGCTGCATTCAGTGAATTCGTTTTGCAAGTCAAGAAAAGTACTTAATTTTTTACAACACCTTTAGTAAGGGCGAAGCCAGTGGGGTTTTGAGGGTTGGTTGGAACCCCGCTTTCATTTGAAATGTGAAAAAAGGAAAATTCATGTATCACACATGGCAAGTTTTTGTAGCTTGAAATGCTTTTTAGAAATGTTTTGAAAACCCACCTTTTTCGGCCAGACCAGCAGGCTGATACAGTCTAATTTACCATTTAGAAATTTCAGCCACCCCCTGGTTCCTGGCCATGACCAACCTTTGGTTGAAAGTTGAATGTAAAATATCGCGGTTTGTGAACTTAAATGAATATATCATATGACAAATATAAACTGAAACAAATTTATTAGACAACGCATTTCAGGTTAATCACCACAGTAACACCAGTTTAATTTCAGTCACATTTCAAGGTTTTATAAAAAAGTGTATTTTTGTCATTTTCAGACCTGTACAGCCAAATCTAAAAATGAACATAAAGCACTAACCACCAAAAAACATAACTAAGACAGGCTTTGAAACCCAGAACGAATGATGGCTCCATGAAAAGAATTTTTGCCACCACGAGAGCAAGTGCCACACAAAATACTTTAGTAGGTCGAGCTTGGGTTCACCTGTAGTATGCAAACCAAGATGGCAGAACATAAGGTGTGTACCAGGTTAGGGTTAGGCGATAATTCCATTTCATTTTTCCCTATTTTAGTTCTATTACGAGTTCACAAGCCAAGTGACTTCCGTAGTATTTATACCTGAAATTATGGCCTAACCCTAACCTGGTACACATACTACGTTCCGATGTCCGCCATCTTGGTACACATACTACAGGAGTACCCGAGCTTGTCCACCCCCGTCCTAACCCAAGAACCCTAAAAGAAAAACATTATTACCTTCATCTTCGGGATTTGGAATATTCTTTGATCGTCAGTGATCGTTCCAATAATAACAGCAGTCTTGCCATCACGTTCCTTTTTCTTCATGTTACGAACCTGGAACACAAGAAGTTAATAAGAATCAACAGGTAAAAGCAGTGGTTCCTAGTTTGTTTGTTTGATTCCTTCTTTTGTTTATTTCATAAAAACTCTTTTTGCTAGTGTTTGCACGAGTTGCACTTCCACTTTTGTACAGTTCAAGTAGTTTAATAGTGGTACCAGGTTGGGGTTAAACAATAATTTTATTACAATTTTCCTTTTTTTTAGTTCTATTACAAATCGGGGAGTGTCTGTGTTAGCCAAGTTAATATCTCCATGCGCATACGTTTCAGTCCTATTACACAATTTAATATAAAGTGGGCAAACAAAATTAGTTGCCTCCTTATTGGTACACATACTTCTGGAGCGCAGTTTATTATGTGTTCATGAAAAAGTATTATAGTAATACTACAGCAAATACGAAGCAAAAGTCCACCCAAACTATCGGCAAAACTTCTTGTTGAGAAATGTCGGATGAAAGTTCATTCATAACATTTCGAATAAGACATGTTCAAGAGAACACTCATAATGGTAGGTTAGAAGTCAAGTTGTGTGAAAGGACTGAAACCTATAGGCAGGGGGTATATTCACTTGGCTAACACAGGCAGTCCCCGAACTCGTAACAGAACTAAAATAAGGAAAATCTGAATAAAATTATGGCCTAACCCTCACCTGGTACACATACTACAAACGCACCTATTTTAATGCAATACTAACTGCTATCGGAACATATGTGATATATAAGCAAGATTGCGGAGAAGGTTTAATATTTTAAAACAGTATAAAATATTTATTATTTATTATATTATTATGCATTTCACCACTATAATTCTCAAATTATTGGCATTTTAGCAGCCACCCGTAACTCAAAGATGAGTCTTTTCTACTTATAAGATGTGATCTTGGTCGAAGCCAATTTTATATTTAAATTAACCCTCTACTCACCACACGAGCCAAAGAGATTGGTGGTCGGTTGGTTCTGCTCATGAAGAGACGCTTCAGAACAACTTTGTTGAATCCAGAATTTGTCCTACGGACCAGGAAACGGTAAAGCTGCAACAAAAATATTGAAAAGTGATATCATGCATGAAGAATCAATGATGCATAACTGGGCAGAATATTTCTCAGCAAGGGCTATGGAAAGTTGCCAAACTGAGGGGTCACACATAACTCTTCCTACCTTTATTTACCTTACCCCTTACCGTTATTGACAAAAGTAAAAAACTATGAAGGAGCGCGATATAAAATGTCATCATTGAATTCCTCAGGAAAAAATTATTTGATTTACTAAAGAAAATAATTTTTTACAGTGGCATACGTGAATTTTGAAAAAAGTAGTAATTTTGGTCATGTGATAGCAGGGGGCAGACAGGATTTTTCCAACGTGGGGGTGGGGTTATGGTGAAATTAAAACATGGCACCAAAAGTGCAATTCACAACAACGTAATGCGTTTAATGAACTAAAATGTATGGTCGTTCACAGCGAAATTCCACAGTTATGTGGCGGTGTTTGGTGAATATTTTGCAAGTCTTATTTCAAACATCGACCATTAATCCGTAGTCAGCGGGTATTCGCATTTAGAAATAAAACATTGAAAATCTAGAAAATCAATTTTGGAGAGAACTATAACAGGCAGATGTCAGTAGCCTCGTAATGGTTTATATCTACAAAAACACGCTCTCATGCTCGTAAAAAACTACAAAGAAGTGCAATCTAGATCTTCATTGAATGCCTCGGGATAAAAGAATCTGATTTTGGCCACGTGACGGCCACGATTAATTTAGATTATTATTGATACAGGCATGACGCATCTGACGGGGTGCCAGACGCCCCTCGTTTGAGAGACATAGACTAGACTGTTTGTTTTATTGAGCCAAATGGAGGGAAATTCTTAAAATTTGGATAGTATGTCGGACTGATTTGAGCTGCTGGAAAACGGAGTGTCAATTTTATGCTAAAACGTGATTTTTATTTAATTAAAAATCGAATGATAACAGATTTAGATATATAAAGACTTCCTTCCATTCCCTGCAAATTTCAGGTCAATAAGACTATTTTTAATATTAAAAAATCGGGTCTCATGTAGTTTCTTACCTAACATACTTCTAGTGGGCGTAGCATGACAGTTTTACCATGTATCAATCCTAATTCCTAACCCCCACCTGACTACACCATCCAAAAATTACGTCATTACGACGTCACAGTGACATAATAGAGCCCTTCAAACTATAAGAACTGCCATCCAAGACGCGTAAACGAGCACCCGCAACGATTCCAATAGGAGAGAGACGGATAACGTCAGTAAGTTCTTTATCATCCGCGCCAATGCCATTACAGTCAATCATGCGTATATTTGGCAAGCTCTATGACGTGATTGTGATGTCGTAGTGATTTAATTTTTGGATGGCGTAATCAGATGGGGGTTAGGATTGACATATCAAAAAATTGTTATGCAACGCCCACCAGAAGTACGTTAGGTACGAAACTACACGAGACCCAAATAATCAATTTTTCTTGCCATCTGACCATTATCCTTCACTGCCCTAACTTCAGACAGTCATTTTCCTGACTGCGTAACGCGACGCACAGAGAGAAAGAGGCTTCCGATGCGGGTGATGTAATCACGCTGTTGCGTGCAGATAAGACGCTCGATCGGCGTCGTAACGTAACATCAACTTCGTGACGAGAATGCATTATTTGAAACTTCCATCGTCATATGTTTACATCTTTCGAGTGAACACACTTCGAGTGAATAAAATTCACCCAGGCTGTAAATCAATAACTGCCATTTCGATTTCGAGGCATAAAATAATTGTTTAGTCAGTATACAGTGCCATATGGCTGTATGGACGTTGGAATTTTTCTAGTTTTTATATATTCGATTTTTGACGTCGTCGATTAAGTAAGCATATATTCATACACGGACCGAAAAAAAAATACAAAAATATTACACTGGAACGCAGTCTTTATATAAACGGAAAGTCAATTTGGGGCCGTTATGTCGGGCGTCGAAATTCACGCAGTGTGACGTCGTCCAGAAGTGAGCGAAAAAAGTTCTACGTGATGTTGACGTAACTTTTGACGCAGCGTAAAATCTCAATATTTTTACGGAATTCATAATTCAGGACTTTTGGTTTTATTCAAATCTCGTAAGACATCTTGCGATCACTTGATGAACTAGGCCTATATACATTGTTATCGCCCTCTACCGAATGATGGTATTTTGACGACAATAGCTTAAGTAGGAGCGACACTCTGCGCCGTTGAATACCGGGTAATCCTGTAATCATTTTTCGGCAATATTTCCGTTTTTTACCAAAAAAAAATAATTATGCAACATTAAAAAGGTTAAGAATAGGCTAGATGTATATATAAGATTTTAAATTGGCAATATACCACGCCTTTTAGCCAAGATATGACCGTTTAAAATTTTTGTCCGAAGTTAGGAACTGTCCGAAGTTAGGCGCTTTTACGGTATTGAAAATGTCATCCGAAGTTATCTGCTTTTCAGCTAACGGTACTTCACTGAGACCCCATGCTCCGATTTAGTGTATAAAAAACAAAATTACCTTGACCAACAGACGAAGATAGATATCGTCTGTCTTGCATGCTTTCCTCCTGGCCTTTCGGTCCTTGTTGTGGCGGATATCGATACCCTGTAAGCAATTTAAACACCTTCAGTAAAAGACATATTTCGACACGAAAAACTAACTGCAAAGCTACTATTTTACTAAAATCGAAATCTTAAAAGATCATTTTATTCGAAACATTGAAAAAATTAGTTCGAATACTATCTAATACTGCGATGATATAAGATATTAAAGTATAAGATATTAAAGGAATAATATTACAAATCTCAACCCACCATGGTGGCCGAGCAAAAGAGACCGTCCTGTGCTTACTCAGGCGCAACCTGAAAAATACAATGAACCACTGATAGCGCTATAGAGCTCTTTTGCTTCATTTATTATTTATACAAATGGAGAGGAAAGCCGATATGATGGATAAAATATACCGAACAAAAAATTATATATACATTAAATAAAGATTTCCAGATTTTTCAAATATTAATCAGATACCAGAATCTTGGTTTCCGCTGTTTGATAACCAGCTTTGGTTACCCGCGTCTTCCTTTCACCGGTAACAAAAGTATGGTGTCAGTGCCGTCTGGGTCGGACGTGTTTTTGTTGCTCTGTTAGATGAAAGATCAATCAGTGCTGTTGGACTGAGAATGCTACGCGCTGTGTGTTTCGGTATTTACTATTAGATTTGTATCTCGTGATATCAACATGATCAAGGCCCATCCACCGGAATTGAAGAAGTTTATGGATAAAAGATTGGATTTAGAGTTTGTGTTCGGCAGTCGTCGGGCGCGGTCGCATTTTTGAACGGCGCAGAAAGATTAGATTGACAACAATGAACCAGCACTTAAGGAATATCAACAAGTAAAGGCCGAATATGAAATTACATGGCAGCATAAAGGCAACATACGGACATCATAACAGAATCGAAAGATGAATACAACAGGGATTGATTCAGATATTTTATTTTGTGACAAAGAGTATGATATACTGCTATTTCTAGAAATTCCGCTTGAATACTGAGTATTCAACTATATATGTGTAAATAGTTTGCAGTGTAACTTACAGTGTAACATTTTTAAACATTCATTTAGTGGCATATTTTTGATTTGTTCTCTCTGTGTGTATACCGGTACTGTTTTAACAATGTTGGCCACGTCAATGTATCAATTAGGCTACAGACCTGCTCACGTGTGATTAGTGTTTTTTCCTAATAATTGCTTTTATGAGTGTCCGCACACCGAATTTGCCGCCATGGTTTTGCGTTTGTTTGTATATTAAACCACTTATCACCTTTTCCGCAATGCCCAATCTAGCAATCAGTGTAGTTTTTCATGGCTTGGTTTTTCTTAAAGCTTTCATGGCTTCATGAGTATGACTATCATCGCAAATTTATTACATTCCACTCCCCACATTATCTTTGCATGAGGTTGTAGGTATTGGTCATTATCAACGTAATTGTTGAAAAGAGTACAACAGCCCGAAAGTTTATTACTATCGTGTATTTTGTTTTCTAAGTTTGGCCCAAGCCTCATTCAATTGGGCTTGTGTTTTTGTGTGCGTGCTGGTGGGCAGGCACATGAGATACTTCATGTTTTAAACTTTTTTGTAGGTTTTGCTTGCCCTCCAGAATTCTCCATTTTAAATTTAGGTTTGTTATGGAGTTTTCGAAATAAACTATCTATCTATCTATGATCTTGACTTTTCACATATTGCAAGCATTTGTATCGTTTAATATTTTGCTGGTTGAAAAAAATAAACCTGACTCTTGCCCGGTTACCAGTTCATGTATGATATGGGAGTAGGTAAACCAGTTATTTGCATTGAATGCTCAATCTTGGGCTGGCTACTTTTTTGGGGCCATATGATGAAAGAGGAAGCCAATGATGGGATTTCGGAGTTTCGCACGATTATTGTGTCGTGATAATTTACAAACTCATTCTTGCTTTATGTTTTGGACGACTACATTAGCAGTCCAGCATGCACTGCGTCTGACAACTAACGTTATATTTGGCGTTATGCCCTGAATGTCATGTTAATGCACCTTACGTCGTGCATACCTTTTTGAAACGTGGAAACCTCTTGTTGGTGATTTCGACAAAATGAAGAACTCGTTTATTTCACTACTGGAGCACTGATAAACACTTACGCCCTCACGTGAACCCCGCTGGGGCGGTGAGAAGCTCACTTGATAACCAACAAAACCGAGCAAGGTAATCAGAGGTTCAACGACAAGCGTATTCGTAAAGCTCAGCACAATGTGGCAACCGTCGAGCCTGTGTATCATTAAAGGAGTAGGGCACGAACAAAAAAAACTAGTACATCTGAATTTTTTTAACTTCTTTCTCCTCCAACTGTATACAGTTTTGAACTCGTCAGCACCATAAGGAAAGCGCAAGTCCATGCATCAGAAACAAATAACTGGTAACCCGTACTCGACATGGACCGGACCGTACCAGAGACCGTACTTCACTTAAGGCGTTTTTCCTATCTACCGGGATAAATTGATAACTTTTACTTATGGAAATAGACCGAATCTGCAAAATAAGGCTGTGGACGACACAATTAATTCGGTCTCGGTTGAATGAAGATTGGACAATATTTGCTCTCGCTAAGTGTTTGCTCACTGAAAAATCCGCCAGCGATTAACAAGTTTACACACCGGGCGTTTATAATACAATACTTTTAATTATACCAAAGTGTGCAAAACGTTAAAAAGCAGTGGGACTCGTTTGTTGGTACAGCCTCGCCCAGTATTACTGAAGTCGAACTGTTTTATTCACAATCGGATTTACAAATCTGAAACATCCAGGGAGTTCAGGTGAGCAGACGACATGGCAGAAGGTGGACAGCAAAACCAACAGCAACAACAGAATGTATATAACCTTTATTTTTCCTTGAGTAATCTACAATCTCAACGAGAAAATGTACAGTAAGTTGACTACCTAATTTACTAAACTAGAATATGAGATCGAAAACCCGAATGACAAATAAATCTATGACATAGGACGCTGTTTCCTGATTAACGGATTCAAAAATATTGTACAATAGATGGTGTCGAGTATTTTCGAAACAGGGAGGTGGCATAAATTAATTTCTCTCGAATTGTAACGAAATCTCATAAACCCTCAAATACACAATTGAAATCATTGTTGAAATATAATATTTGAATCTCGATACATGTGAAAACTGTTACGAATATTTCTTCGGATAGTATGTGTGGCGATTGGTGACATCTGATTGAGTAAGATATATATATCTATAAATGTAGAATTTCTAAGGATAGATAAATGCAGTGGTAGGATTCAGCCGGTTCACACCGGTTCTATAGAACCGTCTCACAAAATTTTTCGAGATCAGCAAACCGGTTAGCATTACTGGTTATTGACTTATTGTCAATGACTTTTTGTAACAGAATCGGCTGAAAAAATATAACTTTTGTTGATTGAACTGGCTGACAAAAAATTTGAGTCCCACCACTGGATAAATAATATCTAAGTTTGTCAAAAAGACTAAATGCCAGAGTCTTATACTTGAAGCCGAACTGGACGGTTAGGATAAACCAAATATGGCAAGTTTGAAATGTCTTACGTATATATATGTCCATATTTAATTTAGAGCAAGGACGACAACAAATGAGATTGCTGCAGGAGAGATTGGACAGATAAATATTCCACAGGCAGCTGAACAACAGAATGTCGAACAACAACAGGCAGCTGACAACGTTCAACCAGATAATATCGCTGAAGGTGTTGAGGGTTTGAATTTGTTACCGAAAATTTCCGAGGCTTCTGAGAGTGGAACTATTAGAAAAAAAGGTCAGTTGTGTTCTCTGTTGCGATATGGCGGTTATGAGTTATTAAAAGAAGGTTGTAATATTGCGCCAAGGCTTGTTTAAGCCAGTATCTCACGAACATCTTGGGATTTTGACGCCCTCCAAAAAATATGTTCAAGTTGCGACCTCCCAAAAAAAAATTGTACAAAGTCTCACACCTCCAGGTAATTATTTTTCATGAATTATCTCAAGTCTAGTTCTTATCAAAGTAAAACTAAAACATGGGTGATGCTTTGAAGATTTTCTTTTTTTCGCCACTAAGAATCAGATCCCTATAGAAAAATATTTTGAAAACAGGCAAAATTTAAAATATCCCGAATGCGAATCGTTGACACAGCAGTCTGAAATTAAAGGTTTCTTGTCATAAATTTTAAATATACATTCTATGCTACGTATACTCATATAAAACTGAAGAATGTGGTGTCTGAGCTAAGTTACGAACAAGCACTGAATGCCAAGAGTTGCCGACGTGAATAATTATAATGAATAATTCCGCATTAAAGAATACCGATGGATCCGTGATTTGAAGTAACCGTTACAATAACTAGGGCATAAGTAGTAGTTAAATTTATTTGGTCACTTGAAGCATGATCTCTAGTTATGTATATTTTCCACCGAAAATCTCACTCTTCCAGATGATCGCAAAGTTCCAGACATTCCAAGAGAATCTGCAAAAGAAAAAATGGCTGAACAAAAACAAAGGCCGCTGCCCTCTCTCAACACCGCAAAAGCTGGAAATAACCCTCTGAAGATTTCAATGCTGCGAAGTAAGTAGAAAAAGTAAAATAAAGGCCTAGCATTGCGGAAACTATTGGTGTCAAAAACGCCTATTTAGACAGTTCAGCAGGGACTGCGTATTTTCTGAATAAGTTGGTCGATGCCACTTGCGAATCCCTTACCGAGTCAATGTTTACTTGAAAATCTATCAACAGTGACATTTGCTACTATTTATCTAATTGCACTTGAGTATGCCGTTAAAAGTTCAGCAAACATATCATCTCCTTTCAGATATGAAGCGTAAAAACGCCTTCAAAAAAAATTAAAGTTGACCTCTTGTACATATCCTATTTAAACGAATAGGGTTCAAGACAATCATCCACTGACAAGAACGAAGCTAGACCAAAATTTTTAGGGGGAAGCCAATCTTTTTTGTCGCTCCAGAAGTGTGTACCAATATGGAGGTAACTAATTTTGTTCGCCTACTTTAGATCAAATTGTGTAATGGGAATGAAACCTATGGGCAGAGAGTATATTCACTTGGCTAACACAGACAGTCCCCAAACTCGTAATAGAACTAAAATAAGGAAAATTGGAATAAAATTATGCCCTAACCTGGTACATACACTACGGAAGTACCCTTTTTCGTACAATGACGCAATAAGACGCTCAATCATGCATTTTTCTTTGAACGTACTGCGCGTGAGGCATGGGGCCCCCTCAGACCCCGGTTACGGCCAACGGCCGGCAACCAACTTGCCTAATGTTAAACAAGTTCATGGACGCCATCTTGTGCCATATTTGGGAAACGCGAAACAATGGAGTCTTATGAGAAATTTTCGTCGTGTTGTTGTACCGAATCGAATAAGTCCGCTGTTATACGGGCTAGAATGAAACTGAGGGTGGATTTTGAACTTTCTTTAAGATATATGCTATCTAAATATATAACGCAATTAAGAAGAAAAAACTATCTAATGCGTTAAATTTGACCACAAACACAGCGTAGAACCATTTTTGGTCATTTTTCCAAAGATTTTATAGTGATACGCTAATTTGAGGCAGTAAAATGTCTCCGCAACAATCCTACAATGTCATTTGTTCTTCTAGCGCAGCTTGGAGTCGAGCAGTAAGGCATTATGGAGCTTGACAGACGAAAAATGTTAACCAGAAAATAGAAACGGCCATTGAAGCAAAGTTGGATCGGCCGGTAATTTCGACGAATAAATACAACTTTTCATCTGTGACGTCATGAGGAACGCCATTGTCAAATGGTTAATTATGACGATTAGAATAGCCAATTTACTTCGGAAGCAACTCGGAACCGGTATACTTGTCTTCAAAGACAATTTAATGTACTATAAATGTAATTTGGCCAACATGAAAGAATATAGGCATGTTCGGCAAAGATTCTACTTCAAAACGCGACCTTCAAAATTTTGCTACCTATGATATTAGTGAAAATAATAGGTATGTTTCAATAATTGTGTTGGAACTTCTCATAAGGCGCCGTGTTAAATTGCCGAGAACAATAGGCACAAGATGGCGTCCATTGTCTGAGCATTGCCTCGCTTATATTATATATACGCTTTGGTTACGGCTATGGTCACTTATACGCGCGGAAAGGACAAGTCTTGATATGCAATACAAATGCATTCACTTCTGTAAGTGGTTTATTATATCTTTTATTGAGAACGACACATCTGTAATTATCGGTTTTATTAGACTACAAAATGCATTTCAGTGAAATAAGTCAGTAAAGAAATCAGTAAATAAGTGACGCCGAACTTCTATTCCAGGCAGAGCAACAGCATTGATTGGACAGACCAAGTTTGATAAAGCAGCAACTCTACTTGAGGAACTTGCTCAACTGCAGAAATGTACGGAACTAGACACGGCACTCATGATGGTCGAATGTTATCTACAACTTGGAAGAGAAAAGAAAGGTGAAAAAGCCATAGATGACGTCAGGCGTGCAATCATGACATCATCAGTGGACGTTGATGACGTCAAAACCTTCGCGGTCGATTTGATTTCGAATTCTGCTTTCATTCGCGCTATTATATTGCTTCGGATAGCAAGTGATATTTACAGGGCTCGCACAAGATCGGCCGATGACGTAATAAATGGGATTCAACTTTGTGTCCGTAAGACATATAATGCCACTGAGCCATTGATAGAAGCCGGTGGTCGATCTAAAATTATAGGAGTAGATTACGGCATAGAATACATGACAGAGATGCTGGATAATATTCGCGAAATAGAAAACGCTGATCCAGTCAATAAAGCAAAACAAGAGGCTCGGTGCTCGAATTACATTGGATATAACTATTCACTGGCAGGTAAATATGAGGAAAGTATAAAAATACGAAAGAATGGACTGGAGGTTTTGGAGAAACAGTTCGGGTCAAATGCTTCAAAATATAAAATCTACGGTGGATTGCTGCATAATGTCGGTGCAGATTATTATAATCTGCAGAAATACGCAGAATCAGAATCTTATTATATTAAAGCCATTGATGCTCGTGAAAAGGCGTCAGATTTTGAGAATGAAGCTGAGAGAGGGAAATGGATTGAGTCGTCAAAAACTTGGCTCAAGAAAACTCTCGCAAAATTAACCTGATATCCACATCGCATATTCACGATAAATACTAATTTACTGAAATTATCTCAAACAATGAATAAATATTCAAACCTTTAATTTACATATGTTGTGTAATTTGATACTGTTCAAAGATTTAGCAGTTTTACTTGGGTAGACCAGTTATAATCACACTCAATTTACTATAATTATCCCGAAAAATAAATCTTTCCAAAATATTTAAACTTTTCATTTACATTCAATCAAGGCTGTGTTATTCAATACTGTTAAAATAATCAGCAGTTTTACTTGCATTGAGGGGTCATATCCATTCTCTATAATTTTAAGTTTCTTATTTCAATAGCATGTTTTATGAACAACTGATCAAGCATGGTTCACAGATGAAGCAATATTTTTAAAATATTATCATCTATGGATCATACTTGATCAGGATCGAGTTCAGCTTATTTAATAATTTAACACAATTACTTGTATATTTTAGTTGATATTTTTAACATTGTACTCACTTTGTTGCAATGTCACACACACTCATTTATGGTCGAAGTTACAGGCCACCACTAAAGTGCCAAAAGCTACTGAAACTATATACAATTATGGTGGTGCACTACACGCACTCATAGAGAACTGAAAGAAACTGACCTATTAGTAACACTGACATTCCAAAAGCCCTAAATTGGATAGAATTATGATGGTGCATTCATTATACGAAAATAAGAACCGACACTTGGTCGATACGATCGGGAAAACTACCAAAACATAAATTTTTTTCGTAATTTTACTTTAAATAATGATATGTTCACATTTTAATATTTTTTAATCGAGATTTTTTCTTCCTTTCTCGTTGAATTCAGCGTATCTTATACTGTTAGCATATGATAATATAGAGTGAATTGCTTTTCTTTTGTCTTTTACATTTAACAACTGAAGTTGATAATGTGGGCCATATATAATACGTGATTGTAGTATGCTTTCATATGGATAACGCCTGCATGTGTGAAGCATTTCATGAACTAGCAAAAATATTGTAACATTGTCTTGCATTGCAGCGTTGTACTTCTCGGAATAACTAACCGGTGAACTGATTTACTTTTTTGTTTTTCATGTGACAAGGATTAACTGGACAATGTTATCATACATAATACGTTATTGTAAAATGCTATTTATATATGGGCAATATGGTAACTTTACGTTGATAATAAATGAAGCACAACCGGTGTTAGCAAAACGATGTAATTTGCCGACGTTTCGAATTTCTATACAGAAAAACTCCATAAGGGAATGATATGGAAAGAACACAAGTGGATATATATAGAGCAAGAAAAGGAAAAATATGAAAAAAATTAATCATCATGGTGCAACTCTAATCTAAAAGGATGATGATAAGATAATATATAAATAAACAAATAAGCGCAAGTTCAAACAAAAAGGGGACTATTTAAACAATGATTTATACACAGGCGGGAAAAGTGTGGTTTCTTTGTCATTCATCGAATTCTTCTCTTTATTTATGTGATAAGATTCGAGAAATAGTCTTCTCCTGTATTGAGTTTCTTTTTCTAGTATCCTGCTGTTTTCCCAGTCGATGCTATGGTTATTAGAAAGGGCGTGTTTCGAAAGGGCCGACTTGTCAATTTTCTTTTGTTTAATATCTCGTAGATGTTCCTTGCTGCGAGTTTCCAGGCTTCTTTTGGTTTCTCCAATGTAGACTGAAGAACAATCGCTGCATGGGATTGCATATACATTTTTTCATATTTTTTCTTTTTCTTGCTCCATATATATCCACTTGTGTCCTTTCCATACCATGCCCTGATGAGGTTTTTCTGAATAGAAATTCGAAACGTCGGCAAATTACATCGTTTTGCTAACACTGGTTGTGCTTCATTTATTATCAACATGAATTTACCTGGTGGCAATCATGCACTGTGGTAACTTTACGTCGCATCACCACGCGGTACCTCTCAAAATACCGAATTTGTAAATGACACTAACCCGAGAATGGTGGGGAACCGGCTGAGGTTCATTCATGTTATGTTCATTTAAGTTTATGAATCAACATCGAAAAAATTACTTAATGATGTGAACTTTATTTTTTGGATATTGTGTTGTATATATTTCCGATTGAAGAGTTTGCTTTCTTTCAATGTATTTTATGTTTATTTCATGATAAATTTTCATCCGCTGAATTGCAGTTTGACTGACATTTTAATTATTTTGGTATATTTTTGATCGAATAAAGAAGAAATATCGCTATACTGTATGTTCATGTTTATATAAAAATGCATAACCCTAAGTCAAAATTGGTGAAAATGCAAAATTAAATGAAAATATCAAAAAAGGTAAAAAAGTGATTATTTCCAAAACAAACTTGAATTTGTTTCTATTTACTTGAAGCATATTTATTATGTTGCTTGCTCAAAAATTTGCTCAACTTATTTTTTTGTTTCAACATAATAATAATTATCTCATATCTATAGAAGTGTAGAATGTAGAGAAAGTAGTAAAAAGTTATTTCAATTCCACTAAATATATTAATTTGGTTTAGTTGATTTCTTGTAATTATTCACAATTACATGTAAATACCGGGTATTTTATTGTATTTTTCACAGTATGTTTAAACTATAGAGTAATCAGTATATCTAACGGGTTGTAATTTTCTTTAAAAATGTTTGAATTTAACCTTTTTTTTTGGCGTTTTTATACCTGTACTCTCAACATTTCGCTCATCTGGGCTCAATGTCTTATGTGATTCTGCAAATCACGTTATGTTTGCTGGTTTATCGCCAAATATCAACTCTGTATTATATATAATATGCATGAACAATATATGATTTTTCGTCTCATTACTAATGTCCTTTAGTTTGCATGTATACTATCCTTATTCTAGCATAAGAATTATAATCAAATATAGAATTCTGTACTATCCTGGCTCCGTGAAAGGCTTCTTCACTCATTTGGGTTCAGTGTTCAAATTTATATGATGTTGGTTGTTCATTTTCATTGAGAAGTAACTCTGAAGTATTTAGGGTGCTCCTGGTCCTGAAGTGTGTGCACCAAGATGGTGCACAATCTGAACATAGTATGTGTACTAGGTTAGGGTTCAGGATGTGCGCCATCTTGGTGCACATACTTCCGGAGCGCCTTATTTAGAATAGGGAGCTATTAGGAATCGGTTCAATTTATAGTTTTTCGTCACCTTACCTTCTGTTTGTATATAAATGTATAAGCTATTTATAGTATTTGCGTAGCTTATATAAGTGTTTATTGATTGCTATTTCGAACTTTGTAGATTTGCAACAGTGCAGTCTCATACATTGCAACTTTGGCAACATTTTAACAGTTGTATAATATATGGGCATGACTAAGAAGAGATTCACGATTTGTCAAACTATAATTAATTCAAGCCAAAGTGTTTGTTAGAGATGGTTATTGCATGCTCCGTGTTTATTTCACCGAGTCAAGTTTGTCAGCGTTTATACTTTCACCCCAGCAGAAACCACTTTATACCAGAGTTGCCGTTTGGTTAATTTTTATTTTTTGAATTGCTATTTTTGTATGTAGTTTTCAATATTGATTTTGAGATTTTGAGTAAATTTTCCGTAAAAACTGTAAAATATTCCCGATTCGTTTGAATCTCAATTCATATAATGAAGTAAATTGATTGCTCATTTTTAGTCTCTAATATTGTAAACGCCAGTGATTTTATTCTATTTTAAACAGTTTAGCTAAAATGTGATCTTTATATCTATCGATTCACAACTTTCATTTGTAATTATCTAAAATAAATCAGAATTATAATCAAGTATGGCATTATATAATATCCAGGGATTAGCTGTACTAAGTGAACAGTGAGTCTCATTGACACATATCGCTTATGGATACTTATTATCTATAGCACAAGCCTGTTTAGTATGAGTTCTCGAATACAAAATGGCGTTAGTTGTCTTTAGAATCATCGTCTAAGGCAGAAAGGTTTGAACAATATGGCTCCGTAGACGAATAAGCGCATCAATATACTGTTTGATACCTATAGCGCGTGGTCACCAGGGAATAATTGGCTTTGAGGGGCTGGATGGGCTTAAAACAAAATGGCGTGGATTGACTTGCCGCTGGTAATAAGGGCTGTAGGTAAAAAAAATAATATCAAAAACGCACCTAGACTGAACAAAACTTGTCAAACAACGCTATGTCGCTATGGATTTTAAGCACCAAATATATATTAAAATTGACAAACGTCGGTGAACAAGAAAACAATTGTAGTTTGGTCATCGATATATGTTACCGTTTTCATACTTAACTCATGCTATGGAGTCGTGATGAGCACTGGGTTTATCATGATAGCATAGTAAACAGGGCAGACCAGAAGATTGAAACCACAACGACTTGGGATCATCCAAGAAAGATCTGCATCACACATCAGAGATCCATTCATGGGTTGTGATTTCGAAGGCAATTATTTTTTGCTCTATATCGCCACCTCCCGGAACACTGACATGAGATATTTCAAACCTCATTTTAAAATACTAGTTTGGTTTTGTATATGGGGTATATTGTATTTGTAATGTCCGATATTGTACCGGTATTCTATGTATAAGGGATGCTACACTGTTGCATACAGGGTAACATCCTCCACGTCTATTCGCGCGAAATTATATTTTAAGAAAGTCTTTCTTTCCGCGTAAGACCCGATGCGCATCTGAAACAAAATGGCGTCGTTTGTGGTCAGCATCTTACCAAACAAAACAAGAGAGCGATGCTTAAATATATCGACAAGGCGTAACATAGTTACGCAATCTCTTACAGCAGCGCACCGGTACAGCAGCGTTCAATACTTCGCTGGACCACAAGATCGCTAACGCGAGGGCGGAACCGCCTAAATAAGGATAAGATATGGATAAATCCCCGTAATTTTTTGAAAAAAAAAATCGAAACGAAACGAAACACACGTTTGTCACAAACAGTAAAACATGTCACCAATATTACCCATCGCATTTAATGTATATGAAATAGACAATGGCACATATTTTTCAGAATTAAAACCCCAAAATGGAAGCACTGGTGGCTAATTTGATAGCATGAACCGATAATGATAATTCCACGAAGGTTTCTGCCTAATGACAATGGCACCAGAATAATACGAATTACGTCATTGTTAGAGATGCGGCTCACAAGCAGCATAGCATATGGGGCCTCTCAACGTATCACTGCTCATTACTTATCGATCTTAAGATCGGTAAGTATGTTGATAGGTATTTGTCTGTTTGTTTGTTTGTCTGTTAGATGAACGCGATATCTCACGAAGGCGAGATTTAATCTGCTCCAAATTGCATGTGCATTCATCATACCTCGGACCAGAAGCCTATTGATTTTCGACGAATTATGTCGTATAATTAGCGAGTTATTAATTAATTAGGGATGGGACACACGGTGTCACTATGGAGTAAGAGCGATGTTTTGGGGGATCCCCTAACCTCCGATCGATAAGTCTTCGTTCTCCGACCGATATTCTCGTTTTCTACTTTATTCGACGCCACAGATCCTTGTGATCCGGTACACTGTAACAAATATTTTATAAATACTAAATTCCAGGAACATAGGAAATGGGCTTTCATGATATTATCATTGAGTGGAATTAGTTATTTTTTGCTCTAGGGAAATGGACTTAAATAAACTTTACAGTAGTTATGAATTGTGGTGTATCTTGACAAGCACAGAAAAAAAGAACAACTAGGCGCCCAGAGAAATGTTTTAAATTATACAGTAAAATTAAACATTAACTCGGATTTTTGACACGGCTAATTTTCGTTCTTCTTCGGGCTCACAAATGGAATGGCCTAGGGCAGGGGTGGGCAACCCCTGGCACGCGTGCCAAACTTGGAACACGAGCTCATTTATTCTGTACGTGAGCGAAGCCTCAAAAACGAGATCATTCTCCTTCAGATAAAAAGTTTCAAGAATTATCTGATGAAACTCGGTGTTCGTTTATTCATTATCGTTTGTTAACAATCCGTTTTTTTAACCCTTTTTGTCCTTCATGACATATAGCTACAAACAAATATATTATGACGCAACAATTAAGTGAGCTCTCGAGAAATTTTGTCGAGAAGAGCGCAGCATTCATTTGACTACATTCTTACATAATATAGTTCGTCTGCACCACCATTTTTCTTCATTTCTGCCTCATTTATGAAGTTCAACAGCTCATGTTGGTTCGAGTTACTTGCTAACTCACTGTTATAAATTGATTTCGAAAGTAATATAAGCGATTAGGAAAATGAATACAAGAGAGTGCAGAGTGCAGAAAACGAACTATTGCGTGATTGGGATGTCATTCCCGAAAATTCATCGTGTCTTAAAAACTTTGCAACTGCATTACTCTCCATGTTTTCATTTACATATGCTTGTATATCTCTGACCTCAGTTATGAACTTTATCAAGTCTCGTAACATGAGTAGCCTGAAAGATGAAACCAGCAGTTCATGCATTTATTTGAAAGTTACAAAATATAAACCCAATGTAAAATCCTTATCAGCGGTAATTCAACAGCAGAAGTCTCACTGATATAAAACAAGAAAAGATATATATCGAGTCTATTTGTCGGATATTTTCCTGAATAGTGAAGTCTGTACATGTTTGAAAGGTTTATTATTGTGTATTTTTGTTTAAAAGTAGCAACGAATTGTTTTTAATTTTGGTCGGCACGCGGAAAAATTTTGTCGTCAAATTTAGCCGATTTTGGCACGCGAGCCGAAAAAGGTTTCCCGCCCCTGGCCTATGACATGATCTTCGTCCGGCGTGTTTTCCAGTGACCTTACTTGCCATACGGATATGCCAGGGGTGGGCAATTACTTTCCTGAGTGGGCCGGATGCGGATAACAGACTTGGTTACTGGGCCGGATGATCAAAATTCAGTATGATCAGAAACGGTTATTTGCAAATACCTAGAGTCCTAGACACAATGATCAATGGGCCGTTATTACAGGGGCTGGCAAATTATGGCAGCAGCGCAAAGAAAGTTGATAGAAAGAAAAGCTTAACAGCTGGGCTAATGGGCTAGGATAACGTTAATAATAAAGATAGCACAATGTAATAATTGCGATCATGATGACCGTATTTGATAAATAGATTATTCAAATCGAAGAGAATAAATGATGCGCATTCCTATCGTTTACGAACAAAATTACTGTAACTTGGGATTTAGAAGGTAAGTATTATTTGATTGATTTTATTTTGTCGTCGTGATTACCCATTTGTTGAAATTGCCGACTTTTTCACCGTTGATGGTTTTTCTGTTGCGCAAAATATTCAGTTCAAGACTATTACGAGAATTAAAAATGTCTTGCCATATCAATTTAAGATATAAATAATATAATTAATTTAATTATATATTAAGAAAAGGTGCGATCTTGGTCATTTGATTAATTTGAGCCACTTGAGATTATTTTTTTTAAGAAATCACCATTTGCAAAATTCCAAGATCGGTCATAAAATCCCACGAGTACAATTCATTACGATAAAGTAAAAGCATTGCAACTTTGAAATAATGCGGCGATATGGCGCAGCACAATCATATATTTGGGAACCGCTGGGATTTGCTATAGTTTCCGATTTGATGAAAAATACCGAAATTTTTGGGATTTACCAGGTCAAAAATAGAGTTTTGAAAACAAAATTTATGAAGTTCTGCATTATGTTTTGTGATATATATTTATATCTTATGACTCCGTTCCTTTCTTACAATAATCACTTCCTCATTTTGAGTCGCTAATTGGATTTACGGATTAAATTTTTAGTTTGTATTTAGTCTCTCGTTTCAGATGACCACACAATAAGGAGTTTTGCACACTTCACGCACAGTTCCAAGGAAATCCTTTTTTCGACGTCCTCATAATACAGGGATAATTCCCTGTAATATAGTTAACCGATATATTACTGATGTTCACGTCTTAAATACCCATGACATGCTGAAGTAACTATCAGCGATTTCAACTCAATCCCACCCTGTACTAGACAAAAGTAAACAAAATGTATTGAGTCATCCACGAACACGCGCGTAGCAAAATGCAGACCAAAATGCTGATATGTCAGGAGCTGGCGTTTTGAATTATTGTACAGAAATTATTCAGATGGTTTTATGTTTATATTCAGGGCTGATAGTACGTGTGGAATTACAATATTTACAATTGCGGACGATTTGTTGTTTTTCCGATCTCTTCAACGATAATTTTTATGCATAAAAACTATAGCCTAATTTCAGCACGAACAAGTGGGCCGGATAAAACACTAAAGTGGGCCGGATCCGGCCCGCGGGCCGTAATTTGCCCACCCCTGGGATATGCCCATCAGTATTCCCAACCCAAGTCGCCTGACTTGATAGAGATATATTAACATCTTAAGATAAAACAGACAATAGCTATTGAACAACATTCTGAGACTGATCTAGGTTGGTAAAGTATGTTTACCTCGTATTTGATATGGAGCCAAGATCGCCTACTTTGGGGTAACATGTTTCGTTTATAATTCAACTCAACACACCGTAAATAGCTTAGTCGCGCATTGTCCTTCTGTAGACTAAGAGAGAAAACAAGTTTCTGAGGAATAACGAACCTTTGTTACATTATAGTTTAGGAAGGTATTGTCGGGTATCGGGTATTGTGATTTAACAAAAGTCTGCTCTGAAAAAAAGTGAAATTTGATCTTATTGTTCCAAATTTTACGGGATTCGTCCCGTTCGACCCCACAGACGGTTGGTATGTTAACCTGTTACGGCCACTCAAGGATAGCAGTCGCGAAGTTGTTCATTCAAAATCGTCAGATCAGAGTGCAGAGTTAATAGGAAAACTATTGCCTTCGACACTACAGGCATCGCCCGATCAACGTAATTTATCAGCACCACTCAGGGTATCATAGAGCAAAGCAATAAAGATCAGAAAAAATCGTTTTAATATGTGATATAGAGTTACAGTTTAATTTTTGTTGAGTCGGAACCGAACTTATAGTTGTAATTACGAATACAACAGTAGAATAGCAGCCGCGTATTAACGAGTGAGTGTAGAAACGACTACGACATACTGATTTTATGAAAAATGGTTTAGGAACAGAAAACCCTCGACCGCAATAATCCAGTGCATTACAAACAAAAGGATATAGAATGAATAGTATAGTATATATCTATAAACTAGAACGTGGATGATCTAAACAGGATATTTTGTACTAATTCAGCCCCTTAGTTTATGATACTATCATACATTAATTTAAACCGCAAGGAATACACGATCGTTATAAGCAGAACACATGGCTGAAGGGGGCCAGCAAAACCAACAGCATCAACAAAATGTTTTTAACATTACTATTGCTCTGCAAGCTCAACAGAATCAAAGGGAACTAGTACAGTAAGTTGGTTATTTGAACGCTTAACTAAGTTTGGGAAGTTATTAGTGTATTCAAAAATTACGTATAACTTTATGGTAAGATGGGATTTACATATTTATCCCGGGAATAGGAAACCCGATAAGACGGCTAAATCATGTGGCGAACCACGACCACTGTCCGGTTACCAGTCTATGTTGGATATGGAAGTATAGTTAGTCATGTAGTTATTGGACACGTAGTGAACCTATGGATCGTTTTGATATTTTTGTTGCTCTTGTTTGTATTCTTCTTAGTATCGTTATAAAAAAAAAACGCTTTTTTGCTTGATTACTGGACCAATTGCTCTGGAATTTTCAATGGTTGAGGATTGTATTATTCGCCAGAAGGCTGTTGCTTTTGTTTATTCCCGATTAAAAATTTCGCCGAATTAAAATTTACTCATGGGAACACTGTTTCAATACTTATTTCAATCGGTTCCGTCATCAAGCCTGTGGGTACGGTACCGGAAAGTTACCGCATATCTAGATGTTCATATATTTGTGCATAGCTCTCTTGTTCGTTTTTAGATGCCTGGACTTGATGGCGGGGGAAGCCGCAATCGACCCGCGATTACGTGAACCACACTCTACAGCGGCGAGAAGTTCAGCAATCCTCTCCCACATAATTATCCTCACGGGATGCGATTCTCCAAACCGAAAAATGATAATCAGAGGCGGGCGTATTCCCAACACTCAGCCACAACGCGCCACGCTACCAAGCCAACTTTAGAATATTATCCCTCGCACATACACAATGTTCGCATTAAGATGTTTTCACCGGGTTATCTATGCTGGTGTCTCCTGTCTTCCTTCCAAGTCTTCAAATGACATTTTGTGATAATTTCGTACTATGGCCTCTCATTACTTATCGATCTTAAGATCGGTAAGTATATTGATAGGTATTTGTCTGTATGTATGTCTGTGTGTGTGTCTGTTAGATGAACGCGATATCTCGCGAATGCGAGGTTGAATCTGCTCCAAATTTTGCATGTGTATTCATCTTATCTCGGACCAGAAACCTATTGATTTTGGGCGAATTATGTCGTATAATTAGCGAGTTATCAATCAATTATTGATATAGTGATCTAGATTTTTGTAAAGCAAGAGAATTTCGAGACCCGCCGAGTGTGTGTGTGCGATGCGCAGTGCGCAAGTTACAAGAGCGGATGAATCGAAACTGCAGTTTCTGTTTTGGGGGATTCCCTAACTATCGATCGATAAGTCTTCGGTTTCCAACCGATATTCTCGTTTAATTCTTACTATTTTCACCGATATGTCACTTTACAAAAATCTGAATGGCAATTTAATCGATCAGTGCGAAGGTATATTTTTAAACTGTTCATGATATTTCTTAAAACAATACTCAGTACTCTGTAAATGTATACGCTAATAATATGTAAGTAATATCAGCAAATTTTGCTGAACCAGCCTATGGTTTCATTACACTCAGTCAGTCAGTCAGTTAGTGGTTTTTAGCTTGGCATCGAAAGACGTCAGTTTGACACTTCTAATTTATGTCGTTGAATATTTTATACAGAGCAAGATCAACCGAGATTCGTGCAGGGAATATTGAGAATATAATAATTCCACAAGCAGCTGAACAACAGGCAGCTCAGAATATTGTAGAACAAGTAGCTGACAACGTTCAACCAGATAATATCGCTGAAGATGTCGAAGCCTTGAATTTATCGCCAACAAATACCCAGGCTTCTCAGAGTGGAGCAATTAAAAAGAAAGGTCAGTTATGCTTTGTGTTGGTTCTGTAACTTTCACTTGAAACAAACGTGGACAAAAATACAAAATTGCTCGATTTATCTTTCCGTTGATATTTAAATCTATGTTAACGTGTGTTATAAAAGTTCTCTTCATACTCACTAACTACCCATGCTTACAAAAATTAACAGTATGCTTTCTGTATTTATTGATTTTATTTATTTATTTTAAGTTCTCTGTTATCGTCCAGCAATGTTCATTTTATTCGAAATATACTAATTTCACAGGCGATCTCAAAGTGCGGAATCTTCAAACGAAGACAGATAGAGAACCAACTCAATCTAACCATCCGCCTCCTCGTACTCAAATTATCAACCCTCAACCAAATCAAACTACAGCCGTTCCACGTTATACGACTGCACCGAGTGTAATTAATGCTCCGAAGATTTCAATGCTACAAAGTAAGTAAACTATAATCCGTAGAAGTTGGAATGAGTGGATGTTGGAGTCGTTTTTTAGTGAAATTAGTGCCTTGGACATATTACGATGATATAGTTGGAGTCACATTTTTTCCTCAGCAGAATATTTTTGTCAGCGCTAAAGTTGAGGTATCTGAACTTTTGTCATCACTGTTAAAGTTGGAGTTGGCACTTTTGAATCCGAATCCGCTACTGATACGCAAAGAGATGTTATTGTATATGGTACGGATTATGTTTGGTTCACAGTTACTCGATGGACATTGGGCTTGAACTCGAGAGCTTAAATCTGTGACGCCAATATTGCGGAGTCTTGCCCGGTGGCCACGACTGAAATCACTAGGCCAGGGTGGTTCAAACCCAGGCCCGCGGGCCACATATGTCCCTCCGCTTCATTATCTGTGTCCGCGTCGTATTTGCAACATGCTAAACAAAAAATTGCATTTGAAGTTGTTTCGACATAAAAATACCAAGAAAAATCTTTTCACGACCGCGAGGCCGACAACCCTGGACCACCCTGCACTTGGTCATTATGTTCGAATGCATTGAAATATCTCGTATAATGTGCTTTATAGTTTATGCGATACGTGATTATATTTGAAGTATACTCTTTTATTTTTCAGAAAAATCTTCCGAATTATTCGACAAGTCTAAATATGAAGAAGCAGTCCCGATCTTCGAAGAACTGGCAACCCTACAAAACCATCAGGATTTCTATACAATACTTATGATGGTCGAGTGTTTTATACAACTTGGCAGAGGAAACAAAGCGGAAAAGGCTATTGGCAACTTACGAAATATCTTGATGACGTCATCAGTGACCAGTGCCGATGACGTCAAAGACCTTGCGATTGACTTAATTTCTAATTCCGCTTACATTCGCGCTATAATATTGCTTCGAATAGCAAGTGATATCTACAAGGCTCGCACAAGAACACCCGATGATGTAATAAATGGGATTAAACTTTGTGTCCGTAAGATACATGATGCTACAAGGCCATTGATAGGAGCCGGTGGTCGATCCAAAATTATAGGAGTGGATTACGGCTTAGAATACATGACAGAGATGCTGGATGGTATTCGCGCAATAGAAAACGCTGATCCAGTGAATAAAGCAATACAAGAGGCTTGGTGCTTGAATTACATTGGATCTAACTATAACCCGGCAGGTGAAGAGGAGAAAAGTATAAAAATACTAAAGAATGGACTGGAGGTTTTGGAGAAACAGTTCGGATCAAACGCTTCAAAATATAAAATCTACGGTGGATTGCTGCATAATATCGGTGTAGGGTATTATGTTCTGCAGAAATATGAAGAAGCAGAATCTTATTATATTAAATCCATTGATGCCAAACAGAAAGCTTCAGATTATGAGAATGAAGCTGAGAAACAGGAATGGATTGAATTGTTAAAAACTGAGCTCAGGAAAGCTCGCGCACAATTAACCTGATATCCGCATCGCGTATTCACGGCAAATCGTAATTTATTAAATTTATCTCAAACAATGAATAAAATATTCGAACTTTTGATTTTTATTTGTTATGTAATTTATTACTGTGAAAAATGGCCAGTAGACCAGTTATATCACACTCAATTTACTAAAATTATCTTAGAAAACGAATATTTTTCAAGTATTTAAACTTTTCATTTACATTCAATCAATGCGGTATTATTCAATACTGTTAAAAAAGTCAGCAGTTTTACTTGCATCACCTGGTCATATCCATTCTCCATAATTTTAACTTTATTATCTCAGTCGCATGTTTTATGGACAACTGATCAAGCATGGTTCATAGATAAAGTAATGTTTCAAAATGTTATCATTTATAGATCATACATGACCAGGCGTGAGTTTATTACTTGTTTACCTGTATTACTTAACTTACCAACTTAATTACTTGTAAATTTGGTTTAATTCACTCAATAATTTTAAAACTCACTTTTTTGCAATATTACGAACACTCATTTCTGGTCAAAGTTACAGGCAACCACTAAAGTGCCAAAAGCTACTGAAACTATATACAATCATGGTGATGCACTACACGCACTCATACAGAACTAGGAGAAACCTATCTATTAGAAAAGACGACCACGTCCAAATGCCACTAAATGTGATACAATTATGGTGGTGCATTATACGAAAATAGGAACCATCTTGGTCGATACTATCAGGAAAACTACCATAGCATGATTTGTTTGTAATTTTACTTAAAAAAACTATCTGTTCACATTTTTACAATTTCTAACCGAGTTTTTCTTTTCATTTCCATCAAATTGTATCTCATGCTGTTAACATATCATAATTGGAGTGATTTGCTTTTGTTTTGTCTTTTACATTTAACAACTGAACTTGACAATGTGGGCCATATATAATGCGGGATTGCTTCTATGGGAAATGTGCGTAGCATTTCATAAACTATCAAATATATTGTAAAATTGCCTTGCATTGCAGCGTTGTACTTCTCAGAATAACTAACTTGTGAACTGATTTAATTTTTCTGTTTTTCATTTGGCAAGCATTAACTGGACAATGTTACCATACATGATGCCTGATTGTAGAAAACAATTTATCTATGGGCGATGCTTGTTTACGGGCAATTTGTCAAAAGCAGTTAAAAATATGACAACATTGTCTTGCATTTTCAAGTGGTACCTCTCAGAATAACTAACTGGTGAATGCCACTAACCCGAGAGTGGCGAGATAACGATTAAGTTTATTTACACGAAAATGAATCAATATCGAAAAAATTTCTCAATAAAGTTAACTTTATTTTGTGAAAATTGTACTGTATATATTTCCAATTGTTTTCATTTTATCGTATTTTATCTTATTTCGTTATTTACGATCAATTTTCATCCGCCTAATTGAAGTTTAACTGACATTTCAATTGTTTTGACATTTTATTTGAACGAATAAAGGAAAAATATCACTATATGTTTATATTTGTATATATATGCATAACCCCAAGTCGAATTTGGTAAAAATGCAAAATTGAATAAAATTATCAAAAAATATTAGAAAAGCAATTATTTCCAAAACTAACTTGAATTTATTTCTATTTACTTGAAGCCTAATTATTATGTTGTTTTGTTGATTCATTTTTAGAATTATTTTGCTCAACAATATTTTTGTCATTTTCAACATATTAACCATTACATATTGTTATTTTATATTTTCTAGAAGTGTGTAGAATGCAACTACATGTAGATTCACAACTACATGTAAATACCAGTTATTTTTATTGTAGTTTTCACATTATAAATTTAACTGTATGTCTAACGGTTCGCAAATTTTCTTCAAAAATATTTAAATTAAACCAGAATTTTTTTTAAGTGGCGTTCTTATACCTTAACTCCTAACAAGCTGCCACTGATAAGTGGGAAATGAACTTTTTGGAAAAATTCATTAACATTTCCAACCCTATTTATTATTAAACTCAGTCAACGCTGACTCCGTAACTCAATGAACGCCGATTTCACTCATCAGGGTTCAATGTTCTTGTGTGATTATGCAAATCAGGTGATGTTTGCTGGGAATTTTATTGTCAAATATCAACTCTGTATTATGTATAATATACATGAACATTATTTAACAAAACTTATACGATTTTTCGTCACATTACTAATGTCCCTCTGTTTTATGTATTCTTCGTCCTACCCACATTCTAGTATAAGAATTAAATATAGAATCCTATGTTATCCAGGCTCGCTACCTTACTAATGTCGTTTATGTCCGTATCGTAATACAGATGATATTTGAATAAAAAAAATGCTTTTTGTAGAATTTGCGTAGCTTATATAAAAGATTGTTGATTAATATTTCAAACATTTGTCACTATAATAAATAACTATAGCTAATACCAAGCATTATCACAAGTGTTTGTTAGAGATGAGAGCATAAACCACTTTATATAGGAGTTGCCGTATGGTGAATAGTTTTATGTGTAGCTTCCAATATTTCAGTTTCGATTTTTGGACTAAATTTTCCGTGAAAGCTGTAAAATTATTCCCGTTTAGTTTGAATCAAAATAATTTATATATTGAAGTAAATTGATTGCTCATTCTTAGTCACTATTACATGTAAATGCCAGTGATTTGATTGTATTTTTAACAGTGTGATTCAACTAAAATGTGATCTTTATATTTATCGATTCACAACTTTCTTTTACAATTATCTGAAATAAACCAGAATTATAATCAATTATGGCATTATATAATAACCATAGCTTAGCTATACTAAGTGAACAATGACTATCATTGACACTTATGGCATATTAAATATGAATTGTAGTTATATAAGCGAATCAATATATCGCTTAATACATATATCTAGTGGTCAGGAAAAAATTGCTTCGACGCGGACCGACTTACCGCTGATAATATAGACTGAAGATATAGTAACATTACTCAAAGGTAATAGTAGATGAACCTAGACCGAAATAGCCTTGTCAAATAACGCTGTGTCGAAATGGTGTTATCCTACCTACTGGATATTAAATTTACAAACGTCTGTGAAAATAGAAAACCAGTCGTTGTTAATTCATTTAAAAAAATGAGTACGCTTCTGGTATGTGTACCAGGTTAGGGTTAGGCCATAATTTTATTCCGATTTTCCTATTTTGGTTATATTACGAGTTCGGGCACTGTATGTGTTAGCCAAATGAATATACCCCCTGCCCATAGATTTCAGTCCCTTCACACAACTTGATGTAAAATAGGCGAACAAAATTAGTTACCACCCTATGGGTACACATACTTTCGCATCGTCAAAAAATGGTATGGTTTCTATATTTAACTATATGCTATAGAGTCCAAAAAATCTGCATCGCGCATCTGAGATCCATCCATGGGTTGTAATTGCGAAGGCAATAATTTTAGGCTCCATATCGCCACCTCCCGGCATACTGACAAGATATCTGAGATATTTCGAACCTCATTTTCCTATTTAACAATTGACTACATATGAATCCAAATTAGCATGAGTAGGCTACTCAGGTAGATAGCGGTATAGAGTGTTGCTTTTTGTGGCTTACCGGAATTGGTATCACCACTCGGGTTCTTTCTGCCAGCTTCTCGGACACTGAAGTTGTAATGGAGGTAGATCACAAATGACCTTCTTGCGTTTTCGAATGCAGCAGAGTGACTGACTTAATTATAGCTAGATTAATTATACACCAGTAAGAACTTGATACAACCAAATACTCCAATCAAATATACAATAAAAATACAGTACTAAATACCATAGAGATACATACGGAACACAAGATACGGAATTGGCCTATGCCGTTACAATCATGAACCATTGACTTATGCTGGGCAATAAAAACCGTGTGAATAAGAAGTATACACGAAAACTAGAGAATAGGGCCTTCGGCAGAAAGTAATATCTAAAAAAAACAGTTTTAGAATGCCGTTCTATGATAATCCTGACCGCGAACAATAAACAATTCAATTATTATCATATATTTAAATAAAAACTAGTTTATCGCACATGTACTGCAAAATATCATCGCGAAAACTGAATTTATGCGAAAAAACAAGATTCAGTCCCGCAAGATATATTGTTGAAAAATTAAATTTTTGGTTAAATATTGTATTTCCGCAGAAAATTATTCCCACAATTTGTTATTTCGCTACCATATATGACGCCAAAAAAACTTGGTCGAACGCAATATATACATATGATCCGTATTTAGAAACGTTATTTCAAAATGTCACTAAACACTAGAAAAGAAAAGCGGACCTAGAGAAATGGCGGCGCTATTTATTGTAATACCATATGAGTAATTATTAATCGTACTAGTGTCATTTCACTAGCCAGTATACCAGTGGTTTTTAAACTTTTTCGAGCGCGACCCAAATCTGAGTTTTATGAAGACTCGCGACCCAATCCTAAATAACGCAAAATGTGTTTTTAATGTTAGTACAGTTTGACTCAAATACAGACAACTATTTATTAGAAACAGTCCATGGACTCAGTGAGATTGATGAAACTGAAATTTCCTTTTCATTATATCTTCAATACACAGCTCTATTTTACTTAACGCAATACGCAAGTTGTCACGGGTATCGAGGCGATTGCGAGCTTAGTTTTGATAACCGTCAGTGCCAAATATCCTCGCTCGCACAAGCGCCTTGTCGCGAATTGTAGCAGAAAAGGCGTCCGCTGTCCGTCGCAAACACGACATCCTAGCTGGCCTTCGGTATCTCTCGCAATATACAACTTTTTACTCATCAAATGTGCACACACTGCTTCGTTCGCGGTAAATGGGGCCTCGAGATAAAGTCACATTTTCTATAGATATTGAATAATCTAATGTCGAGAAGCGAGCTTTTTCATTGCGTCGTCTATTACAATTTACATTACCAAAAAGACACCCTTTTTTGGTTATTTTAATCCACTAAGACGACATTCCACGCGGTCAACACAACGACAAGCGACGTGCATGGTTACCGATACCATAAAAATAATACACGTGACTGGCATATCAGAATTGTGATGTAACAATGAGCTCAAGACAGTTCTTTCCGTGAATGAAATTTTATATTTCATTATTTTTAAATACCAGAGTTTAGAAGCTAAATTGAAACATTGGGAAAGCTGAAAATTCTTTCTTCTCTTAGATTGACGACCTTGTCGCGACCCATTTTTAAACCTTCCGCGACCCATGTTTGGGTCGCGACCCATACCTTAAGAACCACTGCAGTATAAGTTCGACTCCATACTCGTGACAACATGACATACAATAAAACAGTTAATAAATAAATAAAAATTGATTATAAAATCCGGGGAGCAAACAAAATCGTAGGCTCTAAAGCAGGGGTGTGCAACAGGCGACACATCCCGGTCTGCCAAGCCATTCAGTGTGGCCCTCAGATTTTTCCACATCGAGAATTAAATAATAATGAGTCTGTCTATGTTTAGATAGGCGCACACATCGGTAGAAATCCATATTTTTTTTTACTCTTTCGGCGTTTTGCCCTGCGCCATTATTACTGTAAGGCTAAACGATAGCCTTTACATTATGAGAATTTTTCAATTTATTGTGTACATAGAAAAACTAAATTTTCACCTGGCTTATCTTGATGTCTAAATCTGGTTATATGGCCCGCCAACAAAAAATGTTGTACACCCATGGTTTGAGTCTAGCAGAATGAAGTTTTAGGCGTACATTCCAACGATGCATTCTTAGTGTGAATCAATTGAATAAATTTTTTAAATATAGTCTGTATTCAAGATGTACAAATCATACTTTGAAACCATTGGTGACAATGCAAGAGGGAGCTTCCAACCCAGCAATATACTCAATGTATCAGACTGAAGTGAATTATTTTCTGTCTATGTACCTATCGCCCCACCCCTCCCTACTTGTCATAACCCAAAATACGGTAAGTAGAATAAGATAACGCAGATTTGTGTTGAGGGCAGGCATTGACGGGACAGTATCGAGTTAGTATCAATGTTTATCCTACAAATCCTGGACAATATTCCGCCCGGGCATGGTCGTGCTTAGCTAGCTGTGGCTTTGAGATGTTCATAAGGTGTAGCATGCTAAGCTCATATAATATAACGTGTCGTAATAATGATTTGTCATAATCAGAACATATTGTATTTCGAAGTTATTTTAGTAGTTCTATGGGTTTCTATAACAGCGATCGAAACACGACAGCTTCTCAGAATTCAAAGCAGACTGAGCTGATCAAAACCACTATGGTACATCATACGTCTATTTATCTATTTCATGATTAGGTGAGTATACTTGGTATGTATGACTTTCACGTTGAGCAGAATGTACTAGAGCAGTGATTCCCAACCGCGGGTCCGCGAATCTTTTTTGCCGGTCCGCGAGAGATCTCGTCGTTTTGTTTTT